AGTTAGGATAGCCCTCCAAAGAGGACTGTTACTATTGTGAGAATGAACGTGGACTTGAAGTCTGTGCAGAGGAGGAAAGTATCCTAAAAACAATTTGTTATTCAGAAGCATCCTTTACTTCTCTTCCATGCAGAAATCTCATGAGGACTTTGTACTGCACTTCATAATCACTGGTAGCCTAATTGAGTCAAGGAAATTACATCTGTAAAACTAGAGTATATAAAACCAGATACAATTCCACAGTGCCTGATTCAGTACCCACTGAAATCAAAACATCTGCTGAATTCAATGGAAGGGAAATGGGAGTGTTTTCAGTACATGATCAAATAAAAGCTGCAAATTGACCAATGCCCATGAAACTGATTGTATTGTTGAGATTGTGTAGTTGAGCCATCATTTAAATTCTTCTCTTCTACCTACCCATTATTTGTGTGCTCGTGTGTACTTTTATATGGAATCCTGCACCAGTTCCTCATGAGTTTTCTATAAAGGGCCTTAACTGGTTAATGCAGTACCACACCTGGCATATTGAATATGCACATGTCAAAAAATTAAATCAGCCAGTGAGTTTGTGGAGTAATTACTATACTTAAATAATCTACATTTTTAGTCTCTGTGCAACAACTGTGCTCTGGGCTTCATTTTGTGGAACTCATTCACAGGGATTTTGCTGGATCTTTGTACATGCCTTCAGAGAATCACAGAGTGGGTTAGGTTGGAAGGGACCACAGTGGGTCATCTGGGCCAACATCCCTGGTCAAGGGTTGTCCTATGTCACATAGCACAGAACTGTGTTCAGATGGTCCTGGAATGTCTCCAGTGAGGGAAACTCCACAACTCCACAACCACTCTGGGCAGCCTGCACAGCAACAAAGTTCTGCCTTACATTCAGGTGCTCACAGTACAGTCAGTAAAGAACCACCCACCTCAATACATTGCTTTTAAGCATCAAGTTCTTATTCTTAGAGAGTGAATAATGAGACTTTCCACTGCATTTGGAGGTACAGACAAACATAATGTTTACCACAAGATCATGTGCAAAAATAACTTCAACAGATAAACACGTATTTAGGGAAAGGAAAACACTTTTGGTGTTACAATGCCATCTCAATAAAACAGAAACTTCATCTATTAATTTACGGTCCTGTGGTATTTTTTATTCTCAGTACTTGGTTAAACATTCCTGGGGATTTTGTGATAAGAGTACTTGCAATGCCGAGTAGAAAGGGAATGACCTTTAGAGCGTTGCCATTGTTCAGATTTTGTTCTAGCAGGTAGGTCTAGTGCTCAGGCTCAGAGATTATTTATTTTTTTAATGTGATGTGTTAATATGTTATTGTTGTGTTACTTGGAGCTTAACATTGTAAACATCTCCCACCTCATTAGCAGCAGTGCAGGTGACTCAGGTTACTTGGCAAAAAGGCTGGCTTGCATCTGACCCAGCTAACTGTGTTTAATGTTTCTGAGGCTAATTAAAGAGCCACAAGATTTCTTGTTGGGAAAAGGATAATTATGCTGGCAGACTTAACAATGCCTGTACTAACATGGGCTGCTCTGGTTTATTGCATGTTCATTACTTAAGTCTCTATTTGCACTGACTCTTACCTGTCCCATTGTTTCTGCTGGGCCCACCTATGCTGATCCCCCAATGTGGAATACCTGCTTGGGGCTTGGAAACACTTGGCTGCCCTGCTACTTAAAATAACTAGTTAGGTGCCCAAAATCTACTTCTGGAAGCAGAAGGATTGTTAGCTTTGTAGTTGCCTATGAGCTTCTTGTGGAGGTGTGAGTCTTTCCACATCCCATTAAATTATGTAGCTGGTATAAATCAGATTAGCTGGACTGCTGTCAATACAGTCATCCTAATTTATAGCAAAGGTCTGGTCTATCTGCTCTTTAGCTTGGCATGTCTCAGATGATGTGATGATAATGAAGCCTGGAATTTAGGCTATCACTGTTTTTGAAGGAGTTCCCCTGTGCAAAGCTGAAGAGTGCAGTTAAATCTAAGTTCGTATCAGGGTGCAGCTGGGATCAGAGGCAGGTTTTGATACTGGAAGTGAGAATAAAAAGTGAAAAATCTCAGTATGTAGGAATCTGGAATACAGTTAATTTATGGTTTGCAATGAATTGATATAAATGTGCAGTTGCAGTTAACTTGACAGTGAGGTAAGAAAAAATAGCTTTAATTGACGTTCTAGTTGTAACTTATCTAAACAGCCAGGGGCCTAGGAAAGCATGGAAATATTGCTTCTCCATCAGGTCAGAAACTAGTTAATAGGAAAAGGGGAATAACTTGCTTTTCCCTTTACTCTGCTCCATGTGTCTTGAGTGATTAATCTGTGCTTTGCCTCAAGCTGTTAATCTGCAGTGGTGACATTTCAATTATAAACGGGATTTTGTCCATTCCCTCTGGAAATTCTGGATTTGTCAGTGCTAAAACATCACTAGTACATGAATGCAACTTCACTGATAAATTCACAGCTAAACCTTCTTTGCTTTCAGGAAACATTTTTGGAAGCTATGGCAGTATCTGTAGGCATGAATTTAAGTCCAGAAAGAACAGCAGCAATGAACATTTTCCATACTCAAACAATAAATTTCAAATAATTCCAAACTCAAAATAAATTTGAGACAATGCTGCCTTGATAAAAAGGTGGGCAACAGAGTGACTGGGTAAGGCATTGATTCTCCAAACTTCCTTACTTTCTTTTGAGAAACATGAACAGTGAAAGTAGCAACAATAACATTCCCAAGTTGTCCTTCAGTGGATTCTCCTCCTGACGTGTCTTGGCCCCTTGTTCCTAATCAAGGAGACTGATAATACAAGGGAGGTTATTCCAGCCCCAGCTTTTCTGTGCTGTTTAAGTCAAGCAATTTGTTGTTTTTTTGGGAGTATTCTGATTGCTGAAGAATATAACTGATTCTTACATCCTCAAAAGATAGGTTTTTTTATTTATTTATAAACTCTGGTTCCCTTTCTACTAGCCAATACCTCCTTTAAAAAATTAAAATCCACAAATTTCTCTTTTTCAGAAGTCATTCATTGTTCTTATATTCAGACTTACAGACTCAAATTTCTTTTCGTTTTTCCAGTCTTTTGAAAATTGCAGCACTTCAAGCCTCAGCCTTTGAATCTGTTATTGTTTACAGGGACTGCAGCCAATGAAAGGGCTGAGCAAACCTCTCCTCTCTGGCTCACCAGCCACATTCAGCATTAATAAAAAACCCAGCTTCTGTGTGTTATTTGATCCTTTATTCTGGTATAAATTACACTGAGGAAACAGTTCTTGGTAACATTTGAAAAACCTTATTTCCTTCACAGCCACTGGTTAAGTGAGACCTTTGTTCAGGACAGCTTCATCCAGCATGAGCTCTTCAGGGGCAGGCAAATTCCACCACTACGTGGTGGGCCATTGTTCTAAAGGTTATTCTTCGCAACAATAACTAGAAATATTGAAAGTATAAGTCTGTGGGTGTTAGGGCTTTGGAAATCACTGAATATATTTTTAAATGCTCAGTCCATGACAAAATTTTATAATATTTTATAATTAGAATCACAGAATGTTCTGAGTTGAAAGAGACCCACATGGATCATCAAGTCCAACTCTTAAGTGAATGGCTCATACAGGGATCAAAGCCACAACCTTGGCATTATTAGCACCATGCTCTGACCACCTGAGCTATCTCAAATTAAGTGTTTGTACTGTAAAAATAGTTTAAGATCCTGGGCATGCAAAACCTATTTGACTTCATTAAGGCTCTGCTGAGATACTGCCTTGACTGCAGAATGGAAGTGTATTTCAGATGAGTCTTCTTTTGATTAAGGAATGCCACTTTGCTTGTCACATGTTACGGCAGATAATGCAAAATCCTAAAACCTCCCCAACCCTCCCAAGTGAAAAAAGGCAAACTAGAAAACAATACTTCAGCCAAAGTAACAATACTGTGCTTTCTAATGGAATGCTGTGTGTGTTTGTGCTGATTAGAGTGTGATACCACAACAGGGCTGTGGGATATTAATCGCAGTAATGGGATATTAAAATTTAATTAATTCCTTGGGACTGTGGCTTGATGTTGCTCATTTTGATTTGTTTCTGGTTCCTGGGTGATTCCTGCATGGCAGCTCTGGTGTTCTCTCACTGGTTCGGGCGCTTCCATTGGGGGTCCCCGTGTATTGGCGCTGGTTATCTGTGCTCAGCTGCCCCATGCACCACCCTGGCACCCTGGTGTGACCCAGCATCACATCATCCCACCATCCCATCGACCTGATCCCAAGCCCCTCAAGATTTGAACAAGGATTTGTGTATTCAAACTTTGCAGGTTGTTTTTTTTTGTTGTTTTTTTTTTGTGGTTTTTTTTTTTTTGAGTTGCTAACCAGTAGCTGTAGCTGGACAGTTATGATTAAGCAACTGCATTGTGAATTCCATATGCTTGGCTAATCTGTTGTTTTAAGGAAAGGGAAGACAGTCCCAAGATTAATGGGCTGGACAAGAGCCACCAAAAGTGAATTCAGCAGAACTGAGCAGTAACTGAGGGAAAAGTGATTACAGCAGTGGGTAATTGCGACCATCAACTCATGGACCACTTGCTCAAAACGGACGCCAAACTCGGATGCAGGGAAAAGTCACGTAATTTGTAACCAATGAAAGCTGCCGCCTTTGTTAAAATGTATACTCAGTGTAAAGTTTTAACGACCTGTGCGCCAGCCTTTTGCGGGTTACCACGCAGCTCCCTGCTTTGCCCAAACCATAACGAAGGGACAGCATCACCTCGCCCCGGTGTGTGAATTGGGGCTGCGCAGCAGGGAACGGGCCCGCGTTCGGGACAATCCCATGGCAGCATCACCCCACCATGGCCTCGATCCACCCCCACATCGCCCCCGAGCTCTTCCCGGCCCCTCCGTGCGAGGGATAGAATGCTCGTCCCGCTCCCTGCTCCCTGAGCACTCATTAACCGCGGTGCTGCCGCTCCGCTGGGCTGGGCCGGCGGCTCCTGCCCGGGGAGGCCGGGCCGGCAGAGCCGCCCCCTTCCCGGTCCCTGCTCCAGCTCTCCGGCGAGGGCCGTGCCGTGCCATGGCCGCTCCCTGCTACCTGGGCTGGGATTTCAGCACGCAGCAGGTACCGCGCACCTCCCCCGCCCCTCCCGTGCTCTCCCCTCCCTCAGCCGGGCGGCGGGGCCGGGGACGCCGCGGCTGCTGCGGACCCTGCCCGCTGCGGGGCTGCGCTGCCCGCTCCGGCTCCGAACGCACCCGGGCTGCGGGCACGGGGGCTGCCCCGGCGGGATGCGGGGGATGCGCTCGGCTCTCCCCCCGCCACCGCGGCCGCCGAGCAAGATGTGGGCCAGGCCTTCCTTCTCTCGGCCGCTTCCGTCCCCTCCCCGCGCCTTCCGTCCCCGCTCTCCTGCTTCTCGCCGCGGGGTTGCCGTGCGCGGCTGCTCGCGGTCCCCGGGCCGTGCTCCCCGCCCGGGGCTCGCACCCGCTGCAGCCCGACACGTCTGAGAACAAATTATTCACGGGATCACACAATCCTTAGGGCTGGATTGCCCAGAGACGTTGTGGAGTCTCTGCCACTGGAGATAGTCAGTAGATGTCTATGCAGAATCATGTGACGTGTGCTTAGGGACGAGCCTCCTAAGGCAGGGAGGTTGGAGCGGACGATCCACTGTGGTCCCTCCAACCTGACCGATTCCGTGAGTCTGCTATTATCTCTGCAGATAATCAGTTCAAACCTCCTGCCAAGGCAGAGTCACTTGGAGCAGGTGACACAAGAGTATGTCCACGTGGGTTTGGAATGTCTCCAGAGGGGGAGACTTCATGTCGTTCCTGGCTATCCTGTTCCAATGCTCTGCCACAGTCAATGTAACAAAGTTCTTCCTCATTTTGAAGTGGAACTTCCTGTGTTTTATCTTTTGGCCATAATAATTCCAAGCTATTTGTGTGTTTTAAGATGTCCATGGCCTCCACCAGTGCATGTACCTGGTTCCCATATCCCCTTCACCTTCATCCCTTTCTGTTTGCCATCTGAAGCAGTGGGTTGTATGTCCAAACGTGTCCTGCTTCCCCATCCTGCTAGGGATTCGTTAAATCCTGCAGAATAGTGCTGTGGCCCTTCTCTATGTGCAGGCTGCATAAAGACCCCTCTGCCTGCTGCTTTGGGAGCTGGGATTCACACCCAAACCTGGCTTCCCAATGTCCTCGTGCTAATCAAGACTGTGAACCCAGATGCTCAGGTTTCTGCTTGAAATTCTGATTTGTTGGCACAGCCGGGTATTGCTGCACTGCAAATAGAAACTCTGCCCAAGTTGTGCAGAGGCCTGAATATGTTAAAAATAGGTGCTCAAGCATAAATCACCATTATGGTTGTGCTGAAGTTTAGGAGCTTGAAAAGACACATCCAGGTTAGGTTGATCAAGTGTTTTCACGGGGACGTGCTGCAAACAGAGAGCCAATTAGGCTGCAGTGGGTCAGAGCCATTTTTAAGCTAGTGCAGGTTGGTAATGAGTTGTGCCAGGGCATAGATAATGGCTCTACACTACTATGGTAAAAATGGAGATGGCCTTGTTATTTGAATGCAGCTCCTTGAAATGACAGCCTTTGTAGGGTTTTTTTTATCAATTCCTTTAGCTGCAGTTTGCACTTTCCCCCTGGTTGAAATAGGCACAGAATATGAGCTTCCCTTTTGCTTTTCTTCTCAGCTCTTACTGTCTTTCTTCAGAACTAGGTGAACTTAACTAAAGACAGATGAGGAAAGGTTGTGGTACCCTTCTAATTCAATGCTTACAAGAGATCTCAGGTTCATGGAGTTGGCCATGTTGCTTTCTGTTGCAGTAGCTCAAAATACATTTGTGTAATGCCCTCTGAGCTTTGCCAAATGGGCAGAGTTTGATTTGCTCAGCGTCTGGGGAGCAGGAAAAGTGTTCAAGATACCCTAAAGGGTCTGTAAGGTTCCTTGGTAAGATGAGGCAAAAAAAAGGAGGTGACAAAAAAGGAGGGTGTATGACGCCTTTAATCTGAGATACTGTATTCTTTGGAGGAATTGGAAAAACTGGCTACTGTGATGCAAGCTATGAACCTGGTAATATGTTTGCTGTTCTTTAGCACATGCCTGTAGCCCAATCTTGTGCATTACAGGAGAAAGAAAATACAAACAAACAAACCCACATGTTTCTGAATAGGTGACGTGCTGGAAAATCACATAATAACTTGTTTAATGTAAAATTATGCCCTACTTTCAGTGAGTTGTATGGATTGGGGTGATTTTTTTTTTTTTCATTTTGTCTGTGGGAATTAAATTATTATAAATGAGTCATCAATGCTATTCAATTATTGCTAGATTTTGTTAACTTCCTGTTTTATATCTTCTAGTTGAAAGTCATTGCTATTGATGAACAGCTGAGGGTCATTTACGAGGATAATGTTCATTTTGATAAGGACCTTCCAGAATTTAAGTAAGGCTTTTTATATTTTATATTTTACTTGGGTAATAATAAAGCTTTGGAGATTGGGGTGAGGGGACTGTTACTCTATTTGGTCTCACTGATATGTGTGGAGGAATAGAAAAAGTCATGCCATGTTCCTGTTTCTCACTCTGCAAGGGTAGTATATGCTCTTGCTTTCCTTGCATTTAAATGTAACAAGAGGTCCCAATAGGAAATAAATTAAGAAAATATACCCCAAAATATTATGTATAAATAAACCATTAATTTTCTTTTGGAACTTCAGACTTGTGGACATGAGTCTGTGGGATGCTCTCAGAACAGCATGTAAATTGTGTGAGGGGAACACCTAAAAGGCATTTGGAGATAAATTCAGTTGTTAAGATATAGGATGACAATATTTTCTTACTTAAACAATAGGCTAGAATTGACAAATGTCATCCTCCAGTCATAAGTTTCTATAATACACATTTATTTACTTGATGGTTTAACAGCAAAAATTGAACTTCATCTTTGAGGTTCAAGTCACTAATTGTGACAGAAAAAACTATGAATTACATGGAGCCAATGAGCAGTATCCGCAATGGATTTTATCCCAGATCTTCAGGATCAGGGCCTTTCCTTGAAAATCACTTACTTTGCAATTGGGTCAAATGTGTCACCTCCTAGGAGCTGGCTTTTACTTTTTCATGTTTGAAACACAGATCTGTGCTCTTAACATAAAAGCATTGCAAATTCTCTTTGGTCATTAATGAACTTGAAGAACTGTGCTTGGCAAGGAAAAAAAAAAATGCTGAATTTACCAAGAGAAAATCCTGTTTTTCTATAGGACTCAAGGTGGAGTCTATATTCACAGTGACAGACTGACAGTCACTTCACCAGTGCTTATGTGGGTCAAGGTATGAACAGCCTTTATATGGATCAAATTTTTCCTTGCTGTTACAGAAATGAAAGTTTATTGTGAGAATAGTGGAACCCATCACTCAAATCAACATAGTCCTTTTGCTTACATTCTGTTTCTTTGAAGTGTTGTTCTATGTCTTTGGTATGCAAATAGTAATGCTATCAACAAACATAGTAGAAATTGCTAACATTTTGATGGGTTTTTTTTGTTTGTTTCTTCACTCACTACTATTACAGCATTCTATATGTGAGATATTCCTTCCTGACTTTTCTTCATTTGAAATAAAGACTGTTTTTTTCCCCCTCATACACAAATAGGGCAGCTGTCACTTTGCCTTCCTGAAATGTGTTTTTGTAGCTCCCAGGTTACTTAAACTATTTTGTTTAGAATAAGCTTTGCTCACCAGTTGATGTTACAACTGGTACGTGGTGAAAGGGCAATTTATTCACTGATCCACAGTAACTTTGACTGATGTTTATTTTGAAGTACAAATTTTTTTTCTATTTTAAAATAAGGCCTTCCTTACTTCTGTGCAGATTCTGCAACACTTACATGGTACTATGTAAATTTGTCTCACTAGAGGGATTTGAATTGTTAAAATATTTGAAAGGTCACAGAACCCCCAGTTAGTGATCCACAGTAGCTGACAAAGGTTTGGTAAATTTGCTTGCAGCTGGTTTTTTGAACCATAATGAAGAGGAACTGTTGTAATTATTAAATTAATAATATGATGAGATAGGTATATATGATGTTTCTTTGGAAGTCTTGCAGTGGTTCATTTGTCAAGAGAGTCTGGGAAATGTTGATCTAAATTAAACTACTTAAAAATAGATTAATTTTTGGTTTTAAACTTCAGGAAAATGTGTAAAGAACAAAATTTACCTAGATGCTTGAAATCACATGCTAAAATCACTTGAATTATCTGTCTGTTAAAGAATCTGTGAATTTGTTGACACTGGAGGCACTGACATTGAGCTTATCATCTTGTAGGATGGGGTGCAGGGTGTACCCTATTAAGATTTCATGGATTTTCAAAAGTAAGAACAGAAAAAGATAATCTTGCTTTGTGTCTAGCACTCTTAAAGTGCTTTTTAATTAATTGGAATTCTTTAATTTTTGCCTCTTATTTAGGATTCAAAGAATGGATCTTTGTGATTCAGTTTCTTTAAAGATCTTATTTTTCCCGTGTGACTCAACTTTTCTTTTATGGACTCTCACTTAATAAATTAATTTATGCAGATTTTTGAGAAGTCCATAGTCATTAACTAATTTTTCATTATCTGCCAATGAACTCTTATCAGTGATGACATGAATTTACTGTTTAATTCCAGATTGTGAGTATGCATAATTTGATAGCTCGTTACTGTCATTTGTGATTCTGTTTGTTGTTGTAGGCTCTGGATATGATCTTGGAAAAGATGAAGTCTTCAGGCTTTAACTTCTCTCAGATCAGAGCTTTGTCTGGTGCTGGCCAGGTTAGTTTGTACAGAAAAGTTCAGTTTTACTGTATTTATTTGACAAAGTATAAGGTAGAGTGATAAATTTAAACAATTGAATGGCAGAAGACTGTAAAGGCATAAAATAAGACCTCAACTTCTACATAAGCATCCACAGACATTCCTCAGGGGAACCAGATACCTGAAGCACACACAACAATCACTAGAAGATTGTGGGAGTGGAGGATGAGGTTTATTGCTGTGCAATTATTTAGATCAGCATAGTGCAGAACTGCTTGGCTTCACTTTGTTTTAATTCTTTGTTCATTTTGAATTTCAGAGCATCCAGGTGCTTGTGGAAAATGGGCTAGGAGAAACAGCAAGGAGCAGTCTGCTAAAAGCACAGTAACATCCTACTGAGCAGTTTTTTGTTGGCTAGGACAGGCATCTGCCCAGAAACAGCAAAAATTATGCAGAAATTACAAAAATGGTGTTGTGATTTAGCCTGTAGTGCATAATGCCTTTTTTTGAGATTTATAAAACCCACCCTGACTTTTAGTCAGTTAGCCAGTCTCCTCCTAGTACTCCAATGAATCAACAAAAGCTTTTATAACTTTCACAGATGATATTCAGGGTGAAGACAGCACCAAAGCAATTGCTAATTCTGACGTGCGAGGTTTAGGTTATTCATCTTGATGTATCTGGGACTAATTAATCAAAACCCTTGCTTTTATCTCCGTGTTCCATTGATTGCAGTTGAAAGTCTGAACAAAGTGTCTGAAAATCAGAGCTGGTATTCTTCAGTGGAGCACAAGCTGGGGACTGCCAAGTAACCCCACCTTACTCCAGTGAAAAAAGGGAGCACATTTCCAGACTTCCCCTATTCCCTTTATTTTGCCTTCCTCCAGCAAGGGGGGCAGGCTTGTAATAGCACAGAACTAAACCTTGACTGTGGAGCTCTGGCTGCAGCTCAAAGAACCCTCAAATAACTATCTAATGACATTAGCAGTACAATAATTGTTCCCACTAGAAAATTCTGTAGTTCAAAATAATGTTCTGGTTTAGTGTCTGCTTTGCTCAGTCTTACATAAGAGTTTTTAATGAGACCCTTGATTTGAAATGGGCCATTTTTTGGTGCTAGTTTGGAGAAAGTTCTTTTGTTCCTTAGAATGTAAAATCAGGGTATGAACTTTGAGGCTTAGGAGGGCATCTCCATCCCCTGTTTCTGTATTTCCTACAGCAACATGGGAGTGTGTACTGGAAAAAAGGAAGCATCCAGATTTTAAAGAATGCACCATCTGAACTGCCTTTACATCAATCACTAAAGGTAAGATGCACAAAAGCTCTGAAGGGAGGGCTACATTGTCCTTTTTCTGATCCTTACACATTGCTTTTCTTCTTCCTCTTGTTTGGCTGGGCTGCAAGCCCCTCCAGCATAAATGAAATGTAGTAGTTATTCCTTCAGTTGCAGGGCTTTTGACATTTTATTTTTTCCTGAATGACAGTATGTTCTGCTTTAAAAGCTTACAGGTGCCAGTGGATATCCCCACAGAATCTTTCTGTGTCAAAGTAACAGTCTCTTTGTTCTTCTAGAAAATGTAATATTTTTGTAAACAATCTGTAAATATTTTACATTTTTAATATATTGATATTAACGAAAAAATTGTGGTGTAAAAGACCACACTGTAACTGATTTTCCTTGGAGGATGTGCAGATGATTTAATAAGAAAATATATCTATTTTAAAAAGACCAGTTTGCACTTACCTCTGAAAAATGTAAGTGTAATGTTGTGTGGACTTAAAATCCTAACCAAGTACCTTGTTGAACCTCAGCATTTTGTATGTGTCTGATTGCTGAGCTTTGAACACACACTTGACAAGCTGTTATTCAAAAAAAAAGCCTGTGAGGACTTAGCTTTCTTCTGGAAGACCCTTTTTTCCTTACTTCAGGGTCAGAAAGGACAGATTTATGTTGAAAGGGAGACTGTTGTGTAACTGATGTGTTAAATCATTGGTTTTATAACCATCTCATCTGTGCAAAACTCATGGAAATGGCATTAAAATGGTGGAATAAATGGCATATTAAGCCTCAGTTGTATTTCCAGGTTGCTATGCATTAAAGACAAATGTGTTAGTAGAGCTGTAGGAAGATAATCTGATGTTTTGCAGAGTTCTAAAAGGGGCTGGGGTTTTGGCTACCAGAGGATGTACTGAGACATCGTGCTGCAGGGTCTGTGAAGTGACAGCAGAAAAAGAATGTTGTTTCCCACTGAGGTAAAATTTGGGCTGAACTTTTCATCACTGACCAACATTCTACCCAATATCTGATATCTGATTTCTGTAATTGTTGAGAGAATGGCAGAAGGCATGTCAGAGAACTGAGCTGGGAGCTGATACGTAGGGCTGCTGTATTTTTATTGCTCTAGCAGGGACTTCTCAGAGATCAGACTTCCTAATAAAGGGTGTTCTTTATGACAGGGCTGTTTTTCAGTCAGTAACAGTCCCATCTGGATGGATTCCAGCACAGCCTCCCAGTGCAGAGCGCTGGAGAAAGCTATGGGGGGAGCCCAGCCCCTGGCGACTGTCACTGGCTCCCGGGCCTATGAGGTAAGGAATGGATGGGGAGAAAGTTCCCAGCAGAATCTTGTGATAGAAACAATTCTATCCTCACAGGGAACTGCAGCAGGTAACCATCAGCCATTAACTATGAAAGACAGAGCTTTTGGAGAAACTCCAACCATTGTTTTGCATTAGTCTCACAAAGGAAGATACGGAAATTTTACAATGAAATGAACCAAACACTGGAAATTTTGAAGCAGGAGGCAGTTGGAGTGAGCATTTGGCCAGTGGTTTCCAAATACAGTGTTGGGTGACCATGCTTAAAGTCTCAGGGCCTGGTTGTTCCCTGGGAACAGCTTGTGTAGCCACATTTCTATTGGGATGGAAACCCAGTTTGTTTAGGGTAAATCCTTCCACCTATTTGTGCATCGCTGCTCTAGGAAACTTCTGCAATTAAAATATTGGTCTTTTAATAGTCCCTGGAGGCTAACAGGCAGCTGTTGACCTAAGGGAAGTGATTAGGAAGTTTGGGACACTGTCAGAGGTACATTGTTACTTGTTTCCTCTGCCTGAGTCTTCCCTCCTTGTAACTGTGACAATGCCTTGTGAAGTGGGAGCGGGGCTGCTCTCCAGGCATCTCAGCACCTGGCTGCTCATACTCTTGGTTCAACAGAGTAACGCTTTAACCTCCCGAACTGATGTTTCTGTTTCTCAATCATCATGCAAAGTTTATGTTCGCTGTTGAAACCAGACTTTGTGTACCGCTAACAGTTTATTTTTTACTTGTTAAATGTTAAGGTTTCAATGCTAGAAGGTTTTTTTTTATTTTTTGACATAGTACGTGGATGAAAAATAAATATTCTCACAGCTGTTTTTAGCCTGTGCTGGAGTTTCTGCTTTGAGTATGAAACTTCTTGCTTTAATTTCAATTCACCTGCTTCACAGGCAGGTACATAGATTGTGCAGCTTAAACCTTTTCAAGGATTTGAAGGCAGCATTTGAATTGTGCTGGTTCCTGTGCACAGAATAAGTGTGATTCATTCCATTGAACTGTCATTTCTGAAATGTAAATTATGGATAGTAATGCTTTTCCACATGCCTTTTTTTCAAAAGGTGAACAAAATTCTCATAATGAGACTATGTGTTATACCCTGTTTAGTGCAGATTGCCTGCTGTGCACTGACTTTCATCATGCATCAGGCAAATTAAATATCCAAAGTGCAATGTTCTGAACTCATTACACAGAGTTAATGATTATTGACTCCATTTAGGGTTTGTGTTTCTAAGCATTTGCATTTCTTTTTCAGCGTTTTACAGGAAACCAGATAGCAAAGATTTACAGCCAGAATCCTGAGGTCTACAAGCAAACTGAGGTTGGCTTAACTTCAATTCCCTTATTGGAAAACACGGTTGAAAATCTTTTAAAATTAATTTTGTACAGATGTTTTTACAGACCTTTTGCTAAAGATTATTCTGCTTCTTGTGTTTGAATTTAAGATGAAAATTGAATTTTTTATTTTTTAATTTTGTTAAATTATTAGTAGTTAGGCAGATAAAAATCAGACATCAGTTCTACTTTGAGTGTTAGATTTCTCAAGCTGGTGAATAGAGCTTTAAACTGAAGTTGTTGGGGGAGGAGAACCTCAGACCAACCCACTCCTACCAGTTTGATGCCAGTACCAGAAAGAGATATACCCAAAGCCTGGAGAGGGATGACAAGTCAGCAGGAGAGCACCTGAAGGACAGCAGCAGCCAGTAAAGTCACCTTCATTGGCAATCCAGATTAAATTTCTGGGCAAACACACATGGCACAGGGAATAAATGGAAGTTAGAGGGTTATGATCCTTTTGGCATCATGGAGATGTGGTGGGATGCCTCCTGGAGTGTTGGAATGGAAGGATACAGGCTCTCCTAACCTGGTTAATATTCAAGGATCACCTTCTCCAAGCTCTGGAGTGATGCATCCCAACTAAGATTAAGTCAGGCAAAAACATCAGGAGGCCTGTGTGGATGAACAAATTGCTCCTGGACAGATTCAAACACAAAAAGGAAGCCTACAGTAGGTGGAAATAAAGGCAGTAGCCTGGCAGGAATACTGAGAGGTTGTTTGAGTAGTCAGGGATCAGGTTGGGAAAGCTAAAACCCTGACAAAATTAAATCTGGCCAGGGACATCAAGGGCAACAAGAAAAGCATTTATAGGTATGTCAGTGGTGAAAGGAAGACTTTGAAAAATGTTGGCCCTCTCCAAAAGGAAATGGGAGACCTGGTTACCCAGGCTGTGAGGAAGGCCAGGCACTCAATGGCTTTTTTGCCTTGGCCTTCACTGGCAAGAGTTCCAGCCACATCACCTGTCACAGCAGGCAAAGGCAGGGGCTGGGACAATTGAGAACCACCTAGTGTAGGAGAAGATCAAGACCATCTAAGGAACCTGAAGATGTACAAGTCCATGGAACCTGATGAGATACTTCCATGGGTCCTGAGGGAACTGGTGGATGAAGTGGCTAAGCCATTATCCATCATATTTGAGAAGTTGTGACAGTCTGGTGAAGTTCCCACTGACTGGAAAAGGAGAAACATAGACCCCTTTTGTACAAAGAGAAATAAGTAAGGAAGTAAGGAAGACCTGGTTTTCCATTCCTTCAGTTCTCGATAGCATTAATAATTTTTTTTTGTGTTTTATTTTTTTTAAATCTCACCTCTGTATGAAGCAGTTCATTTCATGAGTCCATGGAACTGAGAACTGGTTAGACCAATTTCGGACCTTGGGGCCTGTTTGAACTGATGGCAAATTTTAGCAATAAAGCTTATGCAAGGTGTGTTCAAGCACAAAATATCTCTCTGCCAGAGCTGCTCTTGGGGACCCTCAAGGAGCACTTAACAGCTTGGCAGTCTCAATGACATGTGGAAGGTGGATGTTTTTGCTTCTGTAGGTCAGCTTGCTAAACTGGCTGGCTGATTTACAGTTTAACTTCATCCTTTTTTCCTTCCATTTCAGGCAGCTACTACCCACTGGGGCACCACAGAAGGTAGCCTTTGTTATCTGAGCACAATGTGATATATTCTTGAGGAGAGATGCATGAAGAGCAAGTGCATCATTAAATTTCCTGGCCATTACAATCATCTCTTAGAGCTCTAGTTATAGGCTGCCCTTGAATGCTGTGTGAAGCAGTGGCTTTGTGATCATTAATAAAAAAACCTGTCACTTCTGGCTCACTCCACCAGTAGAGGTTTGATTCTGTTTAGTTATTGGGTGACAACCATATTTCTTCTGAGCAAGTCACAGCACAGAATGAGAAATTTGTCTGCTTTTGTGCTAGCTTCTTGGGAACAGACAATACTTGATCATGCAGAAAGCCTGGTGGTGGCTGGTTAACTTCATAGTTCACACAGCAGATGTGAAGAGGAAGCAGGTTCATGGTGGATCAGTGTCTTGTGTCACATGGGGCATTTTTTGGCCAGCCCTACAGCTGGATTTCAGGCAGTTGGAGCATGCCCTGAGGCAGAGCTGCAGGCAATGGCTCAGTTCAAAACTGATTATTACCAGCTCCTGGGAGAAACTCCTGGGAGGTCTAGGGTCTCAGCTGGAAGGAAGGCAAGGGGTCATGAAGAGGTGCTAAAGGTGCTCTCAGAGCTTTGCCAGAGCTTCTAAAAGCTTACAGACCTGTGCTGTGGGTGGGGCAGAACATGGTTCTGAGCATTTCCCCTGTCATCAAGACACAGGTGGGTTTTTTCTTTTTTTTTTTTTGCATGTGTGTGGTTTTATTTTAGAAAGTATTTTTCTTTGAAAATGAGATTCTGTGATATACTGAAGTTGTGGATTCATGCTAACAGAATATGCAAACATACTAGGTGTGTTTTGCATGTTTCAGAAGGCAGAGCTATTAACATCTTTTATCATGGGTTTACTTTCAGATTGATATGTGCTGTATTACTGTGATGGTCAGAGCTGAATAATCCTCCTAGGTGTATTTTTGAGTCCATTCTGGGCTTAACCTTAGGCATCTATTAACATTTGCTGCTTCCAATTACTTTATTTGCTTTCCACTTACTTTCTTTGAAGTGAATACTGATGTGACTCACTATTTCCCAATTTTTTTTCTTTTTCAGAGAATCTCTTTGGTCAGTAGCTTTGCAGCTTCCCTTTTCCTAGGAACTTATGCACCCATTGATTACAGTGATGGTAAGTGTGGGCTTCTTTCATAATAACAGTTTAACAAGGAAATTTTTCTTTCCATCCCTGCATTATGTAGATGGGGGACAAGGTCTCTAGAATTTGTTTTCAATCTTTAAATTTTAATGACAAGTATATTACTTCTTTGGGTTTGTTGTTTGCTAGGCTTATCTATCCCCATCATACTGATTCCCACTTCCCATCAAATGGATCCACAGAAAAGCTTCCTAAAAGTAATTACAGCTTTTTTCATTATTTTGTGATGTGTACAGGAGTGGTGAAAGATTGTTTAGAAGCATCAGAAAGTTGTGGAATATTAAACTAAACTTCAGAGTTCTGATATTTCTTTGGTTTTGCTGGTTTAGCTCAGAGGTGCACAGGATGTGAACATGATGTATACTGTGATGATTTTTTTCCCCACCTAACTGGAGTGTGTATCTACAACAGAAATATATTTTCAAAATGAACCAGGAAAAAAAGCATAAATAAAGCAAAATGTACTAAACCCAGTTGAAAAAAGAAATCTTCTATATATCTCCATTCATCATAACAAAGACAAAAAAGTGACAAGACTACTGTCTGTTCTGTTGTGTATTATCTCAGTTATCCGGCTTTTAAATGACAATTTTAAATGGCAGTTACAAAGGAAAGCATTTTCCTGGGAGCTCTGCTGTTATTTCTAAATAGCTTTTCTGATTTCTGCTCTGAAACTAAGAGAAGATATATTTCAGAGCTGAAAGGTTAGATAACAAGGCTCTCTGTGGAATTTTTTGCATTATAGAGATGTGGTTCACACCCATGAGTTAAAACCAATTCATTTTTTCTCCTTTGTTATTCCATCAAATCTTACAGGAAAAGACAAGACACATCAATTTTAGCTAATGGACAACTTACTTGCTATCAGAGCTTCCAGTTATACTTGAGACCTCAGAAATGGCAAAGCAATCCATGCTTATTTCATAACACTTGTGAGATTATTTTATCTGTTTTCTGGTCCAGTCCTTTTAGCCAAGTATTTCCACATCTGAATTTTATTTTTTTTTTGTGTATTATTGGCAACAATAACTCTTTGGAGATTTGCACTTTGCTCCTCAGCAGGTCCAAATACTGAGCACTTGAGCTGCTCAGCCACATATTGTATTTCAAAGAGAGATAGTGAGATCTTTAGGTGCTTTTTCTTATAAAGAAACATACTGATTTTTTTATTTTTCAGTGAGAATGAAGTGTTAATTTTGATTTGAATGTTTAAAATTATAAGCATTTAAAGTATTTTCAATTTGTGTTAATTTTTTATTTTTTTTAATAATGTTACTTTACTTTTTCTGCTTGGAAGAAAGTGGAGGAAAGCCATTCTTCTCCAATTTCAGAACATGAAAAAATGTTGGAAAACAAAGTATTTTAAAGTAAGGAAAATTAAAATTTCCTTAATTGGAAAATTTTCTTAGAAAATGAGTAACATTTTTCAAACAGCTCCAGGAGAGCCTGTTCTGTTACACCTATGGATATTTGCAGAACCTGAATAAATGTTATGTGCTGTTCAGAGCATGTAAGATTATTAAATCTTTGTGTGAAAAAAAGATAAGAGAACTAAGCAGGATGTTACTGTTCTCTTTACAAGACAAAAGATTTTTTGGCTTTGCAAGCTATATTTTGCCTCATTCATTCCTTTCTGCTGCTAATATAATGGGAGAAAATTCTAATCCCAGTAATAAAATGTAAGTATAGTGGATGCAGTAGTTATTTGGATGCAGCTGAAAAACTTGTTTTCTTGTAATTTACAATTTCTTGCGATTCACTTGATCTTTTACTTAGCACCTGTGTATTGTAGTTTAAAATGCATCTCTCAAAATAATATTCAGATAATAGACCTATTCTTCATTTCTGTAGGTTTAACTTCAGGTCATATTGTCTTTTAAAGACCCTGTCATATTGTTTAGCTCTACACAATAACTTATCTCTCTAAATTTGCAGGTCATTGTGGGAAATATGCTATTCAGTTTCAGGATTTTTTCCTTTTCTTCTTAAAGGTCCAATCTTTTAAGGTTCAAATCACTTGTGAATGGCTGAGCACCCTGAGTGATTGATTTAAAAAACCTGAAATTACCTTCTAGTGGAATGGAGAATGATTTTCATTTATATTGTGCAGATGTTAAAAGTAAGATACATCTGGGGCCTAAAGAAGTTGAACACTTGGGGCATTGTTTCTTTTAGAAGACACCTTAAAGAACAGCAATTCAGCTCTTGACCTGCAGAAGCTTTATCTTTTGAAATGCTTTACTAAGTGCCTTAGGCAAATTGTAGCTTAGCATACTTGTTTTTTGTTCTATCAAAAAGGGATGTTTTGGACTGAAGCCATTTCCAAAGGAGTGTGGTGGGCTGAATTTACTCCTCCTGCAGCTTGTGTGGTTACACTTCCCATGGCTTTAGCTCACTGAAAAGGCGATCCAGAGTGCTGTAATGCAGAAACAGATGCACTTACCTGTTTATAAACGTATCCAAATATTGATCTTTACTTTGTTGATTAATAAAACCAGTTAGTCTGCATCGTTGGGCCATTGTAATGGAAGTGTTTGTATTCTCCCCTTTCCCCTCTAAGCATTCAAGCACTCACACTTTTGTATTTGTAATAAATATTAGCAAGTCCTGATCATGCTCCTGGTCTTCTGTGCTAAAAGTCAGTGATGTTTGCAGTGAAATATGAAAATCTATTAATCCATGTTTTGACCCTTTCCTCAGTTCTTACTGTGCTGTGGCCTTGGTTGTTGACCTTCACTGCTGATGGGGTGATGAGTACAAGGGCTGCCTTTGATTTTTGTTTGTTTTCTCCCCTTACTCATCAGATTATTGCTCATTTTGTATATTAAACTTTGTGAAGTAGATCAAGAGCAGAGGTGTTAGAGTTAGAAAGTCTGTGTGCATCACTCCTCATACAATCAGAGGAGCATTCAACTATGTTTTTTATTTTCCACTGACTAGAGATTCCCATGCCCACAGCTGGATAGGATGAATCCAGCTCAATAGATTAATAGTTCCTCTAAAACTGTTGTTTCACATTTTTTAAATTAGTTTCTGAGGCTGGGGCAAATTGCCTCATCTCTCTTTTCTCAGGGCACATGAAAGTCTTTGTGCCACTGCATCTGCCAGTTAATAAATTGAAGTTGTTTCTGTATAATGTAAACATTCAGTTATAAAGATTAGAGGCTTTTCTGATTTAAGCAGGAAAGATTGAAGGCTGCCCTAATGTCTTGCAAAATTGCATTGTAGGATTCTGGTGAAATGTTTCTTTAGGCTTGTGGGGTATGGACCAAGAAAGATTAAAAAAAAACAAACCAATAAAAAATGCAGAAAACAACAAAGCTAACCTTTCTGTAGAAAATTCCTGTGAATTTAAAGATTCTGTTCCTCACTGCTTTAGTTTAGTGAAGAAGTTTTTGGCCTTTTAAATCATGGACTTTTCCAGGAAAATCTGTGGATATGTGTGTTTCCTTGTAGAAAGCCCTGTTATGCCTGAGAGCATGGGACATGTGGCTGCTCACACCCTCCACCTCTGAAAAGTGCAGGTGGTGACTCTGGGCTGAGTTTACCTTGTCAGGACACAGTTTACCCTGGGAAGGAGGAGATGGCTGGATTTAAAAGTGATCTCTCATAGGGAACTGAGATTAGATGGAGTAAATCTTGCCATCTTTCCTTTTCTGGCTGTGTAGTTGTGATTTTGATGGCAGGAAAGGGATTTGCATCCTTTGCCTGTGGGAGGATTGTTGCACTTCATGCTCTGTCAAATTCCTGCTGTTGCATCAAAGGGCAAATATGTTAAGTCTGTTTAATTTTTCTGAAATGGGATTGATTGAGTTGGATAAAATTAATTCTGTTTTTATGTTATTAAGAATAATCCAAATATCCTGCTGTTTGGCTTGAGTTTTTCCAGTGTCTCAGCTTGAGTGTGCAGCACTTTCTGTTTACAACACCGTGTGGAGCACTAGGTCCAGACCACACTGGTGGCACTTGGGATTGTACCGATAAATATAAAGTTTGTTTATAAATGCTATTAAACCCATTTTTAAGCCTGTATGAAAAACTCTGCTGGGAGTTGGTAGGGTGAGCTCATTTGTGCTTGTGTAACCAGCAGCAAAGTGTGTGTGGAGTGTGTTAAAGGCCCTTTCTCAGTGTAGAAGCACTGCTGGAGCCTTGTGATGTGCTGTCTGGGGCTCGAATCCATTTCTTCCTCTGCATCCTAGCACTGCAAGCAAAGTCCTGTTCCACAGGCACTGCATGGGGCATCAACTTCACCATCTTTATGATTTAAAAAGCTTAAAAATGTACTGAATGAAAGGAAATACCAGTTTTTTCACTGTGCTCAACTGATGATGTGGCTGTGTTTCTGAGATAAATAAATCGTGGGACAAACAGTATTTGAAATAAAACTGAAATAAAACTAAATCTAGAGTAAGACTACTATGTCCCTGAGCAGCACTAACAAAAAAACCATACAGATTTTGAAGTCTAATGAAATGTGCAATTAAAGGCATCTTAGAATCAGAAGCCAGGGGTGTGGAATGCTCAGTAAGTTATATAGATTTGGCCACTAATCAACTTCAATTAACTTTTAAACAAGCAATAAAGCAGTGAGGAAAGAGCAATGAGAATCCAAACCAAAATTGCACAGGCCTTTTTCAGATCTACTGATAGTTCTGGTGAGAAAACAGGTGACCAAATCAGTTATTTAGTTTTTTTGCATCCTGTAAATCAGTTCACAGAACCTGGCCTTAAGAGGTTTGCACACTCGCAGGTGTTGCTGATTTCAGTTGGGCTGCTCAGCATTCCTGAAAATCATGGCTTTGGTATTCAAAACTGGATACCAAATTATCCTCAAAATTAGAGGGTTTATTTGAAAAGTTGAAAAGGGAAACACTGATATGGAGAAAAATTAGCCAGTGTGGATTTAGATGCTCCTAGGATACTCTGCTCAAAGGTAGGAGTAATGTAAAGCCATCCCGGTGAGGGGGGAATTTCTTCACTTTTAGGTCTCTGCTGAGCACAGCACATCTTCAAGACATTTCCCTTCACCTTTAGTTACTTGTATGAAGTCCTTGTCTAGGGTGCGAGATTTGGGGGGGGAGTTGATGGGGATGATATTCTTATTATTACTCATAATTTGTGAATGACTGAATTTCCTAGTGCACTGTACATCAGAGAAATAATTTCTGCTACTTTTGCAGGTGAAAGCTCTCCAGAGGCTAAATTATCAGTATCCTTTATTCTTAGAAGAGCTGAAACCATCCTCTTTAAATGTAAAACATCTGTAAATTTTTCTGTTGTTGGACTTGTCTTTGCTTAACCCTATGCACTTCCTCTTTTGATCTGTCTTGTAGGTTCTGGTATGAACTTGCTGCAGATTTGGGAAAAGACATGGTCAAAGTCCTGCCTTGATGCTTGTGCCCCTGGATTAGAGGAGAGGCTAGGCTGTCCTGTGCCATCCCACTCAGTCCTGGTATGTGCCTGGCCAGAAGAGTTGTAAATAACAACTGGGGCTTTTCTGGGAGTTTGCTAATGGCATTTGGAGTGCATTTGTGTGTACAATGCTGCTGGTTTAGTATTTCCAGCTGTGTTCTGAAGGTGTTTTTCAGAGCGAATACAGACATCTTTGGAGACTGACACCCATCATAGCTTTGGTCTCCTTGGATTCTTGCATGCCCTGGGCTGTGTGAGAGACTTTTTGGTAGATGCTCCAATGATAAGAATTTTTGGGGTCCTCTCCCGTGCCTCAGAGCACCTGGTCACTGCAGAGCTGCACACAGTGTTTATTGCTGCAGAATCAGAACCCAACATTTGCATTTCTCAACAGAGATCTTGTTTTAAGCTGTTTGTAGAGTTAATGAGGTAATCTTTGTGAATAATTTGGGATATTTAAAGCTCCTCAGTTCATGTAGCATAATGGGGAAATCAAATCAAGCCTCACATCTCCTGAGTAAATGAGTTTAATCTTCCTACCCAGCACAAAACCAGCTATTCTTTAGCTGTGCACATGTGAGGCAGTGGAGATACACATCACCTGAGCCCTCTGAATTCACTGCAAATCTGTAATGGAGAGGAACATATAAAAAAATCCTTATAGATGTCCTTGTATTTTTTATGGATAGTTTTCCTCTGTTTTTTTTCTCTTTGGCTATCAAATGTGGCTTAAAAAAATACAGTTCTTGACCTCTAAAATAATAAGGGTCATATTCCAGCATTTGATGCTGTGATGTATATTAATGTTGTGTTTCCTCTTATGTTTGCATTGAATTTCTAATTTGTAGCTATTAATATTCATGTATATGTGCAAAACAGATAGATGTGTTTATGTTACTTGATGTGAATAACTGAAGAAAGACCCAAAGCTAAAATGCTGCTATTTACTAGCCTATTTCCAAATCTAATCTGAGGATATTTCTGTGAGGTTCTCAACAACTACAACAAAAAAAGTGCATTAAAATTTTTTAAAATATTCATTTATACCTTAAATGTTCAGAAATTATTCTTGTAGCTGCTCTAGGGTTTTTCAGTTCTGTGTTACAATACATTATGTCATATATTGCAAGACTGCATTCCATTTGTTTTGAGCTTTTTTCCCCTCTCTTTCTTTCTTTCCTTAGGGGCCCATTTCTCCATATTATAGTCAGCGTTATGGGTTTAGCCCAGACTGTAAAATAGTAGCATTTACAGGAGACAATCCAGGTGAGATGATTAACTGTGCAAGATTCAGTGGATATGATTATGTATGTACTGAAATTCTAAATCTATCTTACTGGTTCTCAGGTGCTGCCTATAAAATGAAAGAATATTATTTTTATCAGCATTAATTCCTCTTTCCAACACCCTTCCATCACCAGTTCTTCTGAGATAGAATTATCTTGGATAGACTGTTTATGACAAATTAATTCTCTTTTGCCAAGTAATCAGAGGTGAATTCATTTGCCTCTTGATAGCTTCAGTTTTTGTTCACCTGCCTATGAGAAATCATCCCTACTATGAACTGCTAACATTTTCCCCTAGAAAATATGAACTTAAAAAATGCTCTTGTATCTTCTCAGATAAAAATTTGGAGATGGACCTTGTTGGCTTTCTCTACGAATTAGAGCTGTCCTTTCATCAGACTGATAGATCTCAGTACTAGGGAAGGCATTAATTTAGGGTCAGCTTTTTGAATCCCGGAGACTGTTTCAGTTTAAAGCAAACATTTATGTTTCTCAAGACTGTGAAAATAAAATACTTCCATTATTACAGTAGCTTTTGCAGGTTTGATTCATGATAGAAGCTTCATTATGATATATTTTACATTCTTATTCTGGGAGTTGGGTAAACTCTGCATTTCCCAAAAACCGAATTTTTTCTTCTAGAGACCCAAATTCAACTTAGTCCAATAAATATGTGATTAATCTGATAGAAGTGGGAATGTTCCTCCTTTTAAGTGTGTTGTTAACCAAGGGTCCACTGTATATAAAACCTGAATACATAAACCATTAGAAAAATCATGCTGTTCTGTAGTCCTTTGTCTTGAGCATTTTGATTTTATTAAAAATCCCTCCCTCACCCAAATGCTTTGCCCATCTTTTCTGGTGGACAGCCCAAGGTCATCAGGAGCATATTTGCCATTTGTATTGTACTTTGAGATGGTGTTTGTAATGTCCTATGATGTCTTGGACAACAGTCTGTAATTGAGTCAAAGAGCTACCTTTGTACCTGGTATTCTTTTTGCTTTCAGCATCACTGGCAGGGATGAGACTTCAAGAAGGAGACATTGCAGTAAGTCAAAACACTCTCCTGAAAACTTAAATATAAATAGCTGCAGGTCACCAGTTATATGTACCTGCTAGTGTTGATTTGCTTATTGGATTTATGTTTGTTCTATTTCTATCAATCTGTAAGCTGCCTGAAAGATTTTAAGTAAACTCTTGTGACTATTTTTAACTAATACTCCAGACATTAAAACCCAAGTCTTCATCTAGTATGTATTTCACTGGCATGACAGCCTAAGTCAGAGCTAGCTTCAACACAAATCCAATTGACTTAATGTGTAATTTAAAAACAATTAGTGGTAATAACAAATGGTTTTAATTTAATTTCTGTATTGCTTTCCGTGCACATTGTGATAAGGCTTCAATTATTTTTTTCCCCTCCAGATTAGCCTTGGCACAAGTGACACATTGTTCCTGTGGATCCAAGAGCCAACTCCTGCCTTAGAAGGTCATATCCTCTGCAATCCTGTTGATTCTCAAACATATATGGCACTTTTATGGTAATACCATTTATTTTTTTTTTACATCTGGGATCGATAACATATATTTCTTTCCCTGTGTTAGTGCTTTTTATTTCTTTTGTGAAATGATAATGAATAGAACATTCAGCATTCTCTACGGTATATGGCAATCTACTGCTGAAACATTTCCATCAACATTATAGCATTCCTATTGTTTAATTTGAGGAACTGAAACTGCAGAGTTGTGGGGGATAAATTCTCATGGCAATAAAAGCTGAAATTATTTCGGCCTACAGATAGAGCCTGTTCTCTGTGTGTATCTCAGGTAATGCATTTAATGTACAGGAATAACAAACCTGCTGAGACAGGATGTGAGATGTGTGAAGCCTGACCAGGCTGCGCAACTTCTGTGCTCCTCTAGTGGTCCAGCAGGGTCATAATGGAGTAGGTGAAGATTCCCTTTCCAGAGAGGAGTGTAATCAGGGCTGTTCAGGGGTGTATTAGGGCTGTACTTGAGGAAAATATTGAGCTCTCAAGAAACCCAGCTGAGAAGATGATCCTCCTGGTAGCTTTTGGCTGCTGTGATTTGGGAATTGTTTGGCCCCTTGCCAGCCAAGTTGGTGGACAGGAGCTGTGTTTGCCCTCACTGAACCACTGTATTCTGGATTAAAATTTCCAGTCCAGGTCATAGTGTTTTGGAAAATATTTGTAAGTAATATACAGATAAATTTTGTGTCTAAATCCCTTGGATTGTATATGCTTAAAACTCAGAACTTCAGCAATGCTCAAGTCTGCTCTGGAGCTGTAGTGTTGAATCCCACCTGTACAGTAGTAGATGACAGTGGGAACAGTGTTCATGAAGTTGAGTTCAAAAAAATGATGTCAATTGCAAGATACTGAATTTTATTTAGTGATTTCCCAGCAGGTTTTGTTTGTTTTGTTTTGTGGGGTTTTTCTTGTTTGTTTGTTTGCTTTTGTTTTTAACTTACATTTGAGTTTTTCTTCTACTTGATGTTTTCTTTACTTTTGCTGTGTAAAAGAGCTATATAAACAACCTGTTCATAATAGGAAAGCAGATACTGAGGTATTTTTCTGAATAAATGTTTCACTGCTGTTCTTTCACTGCAGCCTAACATGTGGTTTGGTGGTGGCCTTGGAAGTGCTGAGTTAATCCTTCCTGTTCCTCCTGTTTAGTCATTTCTGAGCTGACACTGCCCCTTTGGCACCAAGGCCTCTTTATTTCTGGAGTATTAGAGTTAATAGGGGACTCTCACTTGAAAAAAAATGCCTGATATACCAGACAGGGTATTTGTATAGAAAAAACAAATAACTTCAGTTGGTGCTACTGAATGAAAGTTCAATGATTTCCTTGACCTAATTTTTGATATTTCTGTGCCTCTCCTGCTGAGTTGCTCTGATAACTTTGTGCTGGAGAGTGTTCAAACTGCTTTCTCCTGGATAAAAGTCCAGTGCTGCAGTATTTTGCAGGAGTGTGATATTCACAAAGAAGGTGACAGCATGAGGTGTGCAAAGACCATAAAAAATGAAGAGATGCATATTTTACTGCATGGTTTGTTTACTGGCTGTGGTGCTTTCCTTTGCCAGATCCTGGCACAGAACCAGACCTCGTAAGTCTTGTTGGACCTAAGCTGGTTCCATGCAGGTACCATGGTCCTGAAATCATAAATGCAATGTGGAGACACTCCTGCTGCTCCTTGCAGAGTCATCTCAGAGTGAGTGGTGGCAGGGCACTTCTCTGAGGAGATGTCCCAGCTGTTCAGAGCTAGCCTGGGTTTGTCATGGCCTGCCAGCCTGGGTCTAATCCCACTCACTGGAGAAATGACTCTGCAATGTGTTCCCCAGCACCTCCTGTAAAAGTTGTTTTCTCTTATCTTGCTCTTCTTTCTCTATCTCTTTCCATAATGAAGTGATTATATCTTTTAACTTGGCCAGCTTTATTTGGCTGATAAACAATAGCAAGTAAAGGAACAAAATGCTTTAAAAATCTAGAGCTAAACGTTTTGGAAAATGCATATGGTGTGTTTGTGTGTTTCAGTTTTAAGAATGGCTCTCTGATGAGAGAGAGGATCAGAGATGAATGTGCTTCAGGCTCCTGGGATGAATTCTCCAAAGCCTTATCATCAACTGCTGCTGGAAACAGTGGAAACTTGGGTATGAACCTTAGCGGGGCTGGGACTTTGAGGGTTTGCTTAGACACATACTGCAGTGGGTGTTGTACCTGCTTTACTTGGGTCATCATAAAGGTCAAGAATTAAGTTAACTAGAGCAAGAGAAATTCCTGATGTGTACTTGGAAATGCTGTGTTGACAGCCTAAGTGTCATCACAGTGTTTTCCTTGAATATTCACTGAGTAAGAAAATCATATTTATGGATCTCCTTTGGTTGTTGGAAGGGTTTTAGTAACATCTTAGCTGTAGAATGTTTAAAACTAGTAGTTTCTGAAGGAGGCTTTCATTAAAGTTTATTTCTTTTTCTGAAGACTCAAACCAAGTGAATGAAGTAGCTCCATATTATTTCTTTCTCAGTCCTTACTCTAGAATCTTGCTCATGCATGTGTACAAAGCAATGATGTCAAGGGATGCCCTTATTTCCTGCATTTTCCCCAGTGTGTGTCATAGAATAATTTCATCCCTCTTTTTTCCCCCATGTTATGGTTAGTGAATGAAATGTAACAAAATTCTGATTGTGGAAATATTTTAAAAATTCTATTAAACTCACAGATTTGAAATTTTACATTATTTTCTCTCCCACAGTTTAACATTTTACAAGTCTAATATGTAGCTCTGAAATAAGCTGTTGAAAGGTGAGCACATGTCTAATCAAGATTAAAATGGATCCATTGCAGAGCAGGGTTTGAAATCATCACCATCATCTCAGGTGTGAATTGATATGAGTAAAATTAATGTAAAATTATAGGCAGCAAAGTTTTTAAATGTAGATATTTAAGCTATGGAAGACTTCACTCCTTAGCAAAGTGAATTTAAGATAGGGCCTCTTGACATTGTGAGATTAGATTTTTCATTTTTAGAAGCTGTGTTATGTTGTCTGTCAAATCCAGTCTCTGTGGGGTATTAAAATGACCGGGAATCTCTTTTCACTAGAAGACAAATCAATTCTAGTGTTTTAGAAAATGGGAAGAAATTATTCTAAAACCCCAAAGACAGCCAGTTTAGACAATATTAAAAAAATTGGAAGTTGATGAAAATATTTTTACTGAACCAGGACAGTGCCATAAAGTTTTAAAATTTGTGTTATAGTATATTCACTTGAATATCTTACTCCTCCATAAAATGTGTGTTTGATGGAAATCATCCTCAATAGTCTATATACTAGAATAACCTCTGGGTATATCTGTAAAAATGCAGTAATCTTCATAATTTGGGTGCCTGGGGGAAACAAAGCAAAGGCATAGCTGGTTAAATGCCCCCCCCTTTTACTCCTTGCTCCCTGTTGTGTGGGGAGGTGCCTCTGCAGAGGTTTGGAGGTCAGGATTGGAAGGTTGGGATGTGCATCCCCTGGCAGGGCCTGCAGGTCTGTGACACACAGAGCTGCTTACTGGCAACTTTGCAGAATGTTTAACCAGAAAGGTTATGTGTGCTAAAGCACAATAGTATTTTGGATTTTATTTTGTCAGTAATCACAGGTCTGATAGGGGAGCACAGTTTTGCTCTAACAAGGTTAGAACCACAAAAACTATCCTTAGTTTGTTAACTATTCTGTTCAGTTTTTCTGTCCTCATTTTTTCTGGTCTCCTTTCTTGAATATCTTTTCTGACCAACCCAGAGGAATCTTTGTCTAGCTGTCTACAAAGCATTACAGCATTTCCTAAGATCTCATCAAAACTATTCAGAGACCAGCTCTGCTTCGTGACTTAAAATATCTGATGTTCTCTAATAGGCTCATGAAATTTAATCCAGGGTATGAAATGTTCCAATATTCCTGTACTCTTCTTACCAACTTGCCATTTTTTCTGTGTGTGCTTGGTTTTTTTTCTCCTTTCACCCTTGCATATTACCTACTCAGACTATTTCTTGTGTGTGCAATGTATTATCTGTGTTACTTGCAAATGTGTGTATTGTGGTGGATGTATCCTCTTCTGTAGGCTTGGTGCTTATTACATCATTTGGCAGGTTTAAGATCCATGTTTTGTAAACTGGGAGAATCATAGGATTATAGAATATCCTGAGTTGGAAGGGACCCACTGGGATCATTAAAGTCCAACTCTTCACAGGAGAGCCCCAAGAACCCAACCACATGGCTCAGAACATTGTTAAGAAGTTGATGTGTGGACTGAAATTAGTAAAGAAACAGGTTTTGTCGTGACTCATCTGTCCAAATACATGATAAACTTCTATTATCATTTTAGCTGTGTGCAAAAATAGGATTCAACTTTGGGCCTGGGAGCAAACATGACACTCTTTAATGTTCCTTGATACAGGTTTCTACTTTGATGTGATGGAAATTACTCCTGAAGCAGTTGGGATTCACAGATTCAACAGAGACAACCAAAAGGTAGTAATAATCTGGTTAATATCTCAAACTTTGAAGGAGTGCCATCAAGGCTTCAAATCTTTGCTATTATATATATATTTTTTTTCTTTCTGTCTGAAATACTTGCTTTCCAGTTTCATTTATTAATGCAAGTCCCTGGGATGATTTTCATAAGGAAGTATTTGGTCTGTAGCTTGAGAGCATCTACAGAGCAATGTCTGAACTAGAACTTATATGTTATTTTTTTATGATATACTTTCTTTACTGGAAAATTTGGATTTGCTGAAACCAACACTGTCTTTGAGACAGGATTTACTTTAAGCTCACTGAGAACTTAGTACATGTACATGACTTAGTCCTTGTTTTTTAAGTTTTTAGACACATAGATAAAGGTGTGTTGAAACTTTGGGCCGTAGTATTTTGTCTATATGTATATATAGTGTGTGAACTAAAAACCTCATTTTGCTGTCCTGCATGACTTGGAGTAGCCTACAAGCCACATAGTGGTATGTAAGTAAGCACAGGCTCAAGTCCAAGTGGAATGAAATAGAAATTAAGTTGTAGGAAGTTCTTTGTATCTTTTTCCCCTTTTTTTTTTTTTCTTTTTTGAGGAATGGATGGAATGGATGTTGTTTAAATGCCTGGCTTTCTGGGTGGTACTGAAACTCAGGAGATGCCTTTGATCAATCATGACTCCCAGTCGATTAGACCTCACGTAGGTGAACAGAGATTGATGCTATCTGGTGTTTGCAGTGCAGCTCTACTCTCTTAAGTGTTGGCTGTTAAATGAATGCTTAATCACTTCTAGCTGTTACACAAATGTGGGCACTTACTGCAGTGCATGGAGAAACTCAACTTCGTGTGAAGGATTCCTTCTACTTGTTTGCAGTTCAATGTTCTCTTGCTTCTGTTGCCTGTCTCATTGATGAAAGGACAGAAAAATGTTATAGGTAGAAGCTAAATAAATTAATGAAAAGATTACATGGTTTCACTTTTGTGCAGACAGAAACAGATTTAAACTCCTGTGACATTGTTTAATTCATCTGAATTTTATCTAATTGCTTTTTTTTTTGAGATATTGATTCCTAAGCCGCTCTTGGTGATGGGAAATGCTTAGGGAAAAGTTTGCAGCTTGCCTTAAACTTCTTCCTATTGTGCATGAACTTTAGGTTTGATGTGTTTGCCAACAGCATTTAGGATGCGGCTTGAGATCTCTGTCATGAGTCTTTAGGTCCATCTTGCGTGCATGAGTGAAGAACTGGGCCTAGATGAGGGCAGACTTCAGGGTGAAGGCAAAGATAATCAATTGTCTTGTCAATAAATCTGTCTTGTGTTTTTAACCACCCTGTAGCTTGGCCCTGTATGCTGGGTATGGTGTTGTTAATTTATTCCCTCTTTGGTGCAGGTTTCAAGCTTTCCAAAGGAAGTAGAAATACGAGCATTGATTGAAGGGCAGTTCATGGCCAAGAGGATTCATGCTGAAAAGCTGGGATATAAAGTCTGTAAGTAGGATGAGAGCTAATGGCACTAGAAGCCAAAGGCAGTAATGTCTGTACTGTGATTCCTGTCCTGCCTGATGGATACAGAAACTGGTATGAGTTATGAATTTGGTCTTTTGGAAAAACTATTGATGCCGTGTTGGGTGCAAGCTTTTGCAGATGTTAACATTAGAAGGACCAAGGAGGCTTAAGTTTAAGAAGACTTCTTTTTCAAGTATTTTTGCTGTTTCATTGTTTCTGAGCTTCATTGTCCACTTTTAGAGTTTGGCCTTCAATAGCTTGTTAGTGAAAAGGAGACCAGCCTTCTGCCTGAAGCACAAGACTGTAACTCAGAAAATCTGAAATCTATGTTCAGTTCTTGGATCTGCCATAAGCTGGTCACGTACCCCTTTACCTCAGTTTTCTATTAATAAGACAGAAGCCCTTTCTCTGTCTTGTGATTTACAAAGTGAGAGATCCAGCTTCCTAGATATACATGGTATTTCGTGATATTATATGGTATTATTACTGATGTTATAATATTTATTTATTTATGATATCCTGTTTATAATATTAATAGTTTTTAGCACATTGGAACAGCAACGTCAGCCAGTATTTTACCTAGAGAAGTGGGTTCATCTCATTACTAGGTGTATAGTTCTACAAAAATAATACAGGCAAGCCTGTAATATTTTTATTGACGTTTTCTGTCAGTTTATCAGCCAGTGGTACCTTAAACATACTGAATTAACTCTTCTGGAAGATTTTTAATACATATTCTATTTTTAAAAGTCATATTATTTTTATTTACATCCTGACCTCCTTCTTCACAAGTCATTGTTTGACTCCTACCCTCAGGCTTTTATCAATAATCATGAAGGACAGAATATTTTTATTGTTTATTTTTAAGAGAGAACTCCAGGAGTTGAAAGTTGAGAAAATGCTGAGATGCTGGAACAAATCACAAGGCTTGACAACACCACCTCATAAATTTACGCTGTAAAGGTTTCTGTGTTATATATTTTCTTATATAGTTGAAACTGTATTTATTTGTAGAGGTTATTTATGGAGACAGGCACAATTTCAAATAGACTGTGTTTAAAATACCTGTTTATCCTTCATTCTTAGATTCTGCTGCACCAGACTCTTGGTTTATGTAGCCTAGAAAGCTCATGGCTGAGGACACTTTTGCACTCTGTAAATGTCAGGGGTTAGACAAGCACCAGAGTGTGAGAAGAACTATTTGAGATATCAGACAATCCTGACACAGGAACAAATGGGGATAAATTATCTGTAAATACATTTAGGCTGAGTAGTACAGCCAAAAATTCAAATAGTTTTAGGATGTGGCTTAATAAGCTTTAAGAATTCATTAGTATTTTTTTAAATACTGTAGATGCCTACAATGAAAAGAAGACAGGTGTGATTAGATTATATTCCCATGGATTCCTTAGAATATTGTATACTTTTGTTTTGTTGCATCCCTAGGGCCTTTTAGATATTTGGTAGCTTAACAGATGAGTTGCTTTAAAAAAGAACTGCTGTACATTGTGTAGGCTGTGTGCATCTCCCACTTCTGCTTAGTGGTATTATTTAAATGTCATACTCTGTTGTTTGTGTAGTGATGGCAGGCTCACATCTGCATTTGTTGTGTGACAGCTCTGAAAACAGGGTGTGTTCTCAATGTGTTTCAGGGTATGGATGAACATTGTGGGAATTATTCCAGCATTGCCAGACTTTCTCTTGTTTAATAGCTGCTGTTTTTCAGGCTGCTTTTTTTTTTTTTTTTCCTTTTAATGTGATTTAAAAGCTTATTTATTTTTTGGATTAAATATGCAGTCAGGACCCTTGTGTTTATTCAATTCCTTTTAGGCCTTGCCTACATGGGGGATTTACTTTGATATTTCCAGGAATCAAGCTGATTTACATTCAGAAATATAATCACAGCAGGGTAAATCTTGGCTTCTTTTTTTCTTATTGCTGTTGTTTGCACTGATGGGAGAACACAGTAGGAAGTGCTCACAAGATCTGGAAGGTTCTGTGATGACACCTAATAAATCAGTGTGTAAGAGAAACGTACATGACACGGTCAGTCACAACAAATGCCTCGCTGGGGTGCCCTGAGGTTTGTGTGGTGCTGTCACAGTGGTGCCTATGAGTCAGAAACCTGGCTAAGAATTTCTCTAGCTCTGGCACCAAGGTGCTGGAAAATGATTTTGGCAGCTATGAACCTGCCTCTCTGTTCTTGGGCCAAATGCAGTTTGGATGGCTGTAATCAGAAAAGCAACAGCGTACGTGAGAGAGAATTTTGGAAAAATAAACAAATAAAAACCTGCCATATAGAGTTCTTGGTTATGCACTGTGAACATGACAAACATTAGATAATCCCTTAGAATTAGCTTCCAGTTAATGAATATATTATCTTGCAAGGAGCAGTATTTTGAATCCTCAGTCTAGCTGGTGCTGTGGGAAGGAGTGCAGTGATGCTGAAAGAGCTTTTTGTATGTGAGGTTTTGTTCCCAGTTGGATGTGTCCGGCACATTATAGATCTGATATAAATTACAAATAATAGTTTAAAATACCCTCTGAAAAAGCTCCTCAGGTGCTGTTTGTGCTGCCTGTGACATGAGCTCAGATTTCAGTGAGGCTTTGGCGCCAGTAGAGGGCAGGGGATTCTGTCTCATGAATTTTGTCTCTGAGGCTGGGACGTGTCAGCCTTGTTCTGAAAATGGCACACAGTCACCAGATGATCCTTAGGAGAAAGGTTAAACCTTATATTAATTGTGATTTAAGGGCTTTCAAAGTGTGTGTCACCGTGTTCTAATTGCTCTAATCTTTCTCAATCAGGTTTCTGAGGAAATCATTCAGTAACACCCTGTATCCTGTTTTGCTTATGTGCTTAAGGGCTGGACTGAGTGTTGAATCTAGAAACAAACAAGTGAAGTTTGGTCTGTCCCTTTTGTTTACATCCTCCCATTCAGAGATTCATGAAGATAAGGTGAAGGTTTGCTGTACTGCCTTTATTTTCCTGAATTTTGATTGTATCATAAACATTCTATTTTTTCACTTCCTTTTACTGCTTACAGCCATCCCCCTTGGAAAGCCAAGCTCACAACTGGAGATCAGAGGCTGGACTCACAGCCATTCTTACTGCATGGTTATGGGTCTCTCTGAAGTCAAAATCATGGTAACTTTGTGGAGAAAAGACAGTGTCTGCAGCTCAGTGACACAGGTGATCACAGCAGCTATAAATCTGTCAGTGGTACAGACTGATCTGCCAGTATGTACTTCAATAATCTTGATGATCACTTCAGAGCTGCTCCTATTCCAGACCAAGCAATCCTAAAATTCATCCTAAAATTGCCACTGACTGGAGAATGTTGCTATGGTCCTTGCTTGGACCTAGTGAGGCTGTCCTGGTGAAGACCCACAAAACTGATTACTTTTGGGAGCAAAATCTATTCCCCACCTTACTGACAGGTGAAGTAAATATGCCATGATGTATGTCACATATGCTGAAGGAAAATAGCACACAGGTAGGGTTTCTGTGTTGATCACACATGTAGTCAATAGATATTTAAATTATATTCTGCTCTAGAGTGTAGAACCTTAATGTCAATGGTAACCTGAGCCCTGAGTCAATACATGTTGGGTCAGGAGTGTGCTAGAGTTGTGTTTATTAAGCTTTTGTGTGACTGCAGCAGCAATTAATAAATCCTGCCATGTAGGAAGGCTGTTATCTGGGATGGGGTCTGTGTTGAAGCTACTAACTTTGGACAGGGCTTTCCATGCCTATCAGTGAGTTCATAATACTCCAATTCCCAATGTGCTGTTCTGTCACCTTTATACCTTTAGGAATCTGATTCTGCCACCTGTCATCAGCAGGGGCAGGTGGATAGAAGGTGCCACATTTTATGAGTGCAGGCTTTGTACATAAAACCCTGTGTCTGTGATTATTGTGTTATTTATAGTTTCTTACGTACATAAATCCATCACTCACAAATAATGTTGGTGCCTTGAATTCTAGTGACTGTATTGGTGCTCAAGTGCAGGCTAGGGTGACACTGACATGCCTGGGGCTTTGCACTGCTGCAAGAATGAGCTGATTTTTTTTCAGTGGGGTGCATTCTTGAAAAAAATAGCAGTCCTGCAGTGCTAAGAAGAAAAACAGGAATGTCAGAGCATGCTGGCCTGATTTCTCAGTGATTAGAGGGGGGATTTACATTTCTGAAGAACTCAGCTTAAGATTATGAGGGCAAACTTCAAGGTGATAAATTTTTTTTTTTCTTCAGGTGGTGTTTTCTTCTGATGCTCTTCTCAGCAGGCTGGAGGTAGCAGTAATGTGTGGCTTTTTGCTTGCAGGGAAGGTAGTCTGATGGAGTCAGGGATGCTCAGAAAATAGATTCACGGAGTCATTAAGGTTGGAAAAGACCGCCAAGATCATCACATCCAACATTTGACCTGACACCACCATGCTGACTAAGACATGTCATGAAATAGCACACCTACATGTTTTTGAACACTTCCAGGGATAGTGAAGTTCCCTGGGAGCTTGTTCCAAACTATCAGTAAGTACAACATGGAGCAGTTGTGTTTCATTGTTCCTGTTGTCACGTGGAGGCACAGAAACCCAAAGGTGAGAGGTGAGGCTGTTACTCCACCACAAAATGTTGAGTTCATTGGAAGATGAACTGGCTCTTCTGCTTAACAGGACTGGAAACCACTGGTCCTCAGGATGCTTCAGGGGTGCCTTTGTGTCTGGCTGTGAGACAAATTTTCCTGCTGGTGGTTGTCCTTGACTGTTTGGTGTTTGTGACTGTGCTCTCCAAAACTCTTGCGAATTATTGGGAATGTGGGGATACTTGTTCTGTCAGCCTTTGCCTGCACTGCTGGGTGTGTGTTTACTCCAGTTGTAGCAGTGTTTTGGCTGAAATAAGGAACACTGGGAGTGAGGCCATTTTGTAGTTGCATACAGATTAAATTGATGTTTATGCCCTGCGGGATTGAAATTTCTTAGAGAAATC